AACATGAGAAGAGTTCCACGTGTACATTCAGGCAGGAAACTGTAGATCTTCAGCAGGACATGAAAGAAAGTCTATAGGGGAGGGGGGGAACATGGTGCAGAGAGAGCGAAACAGAGGAAAAACAGTCATCATCCCGACTTTCCATCCATCACCCCATCTTTCTGAAGGGGGGCGGGGATGCGGTCATTGGTCGGGACCGCTCAGTATGTTAGAGGTGGTCTGACTGTCAACTGCAGACATGATGATAAAGAAACACTCTAAGATGTCATTAACCTCTTAAAGGGATAGTTCACCCAAAAGTAAAAGCTTTGCTCACCATCATTACTCACTGAATGACTTTCATTCTTCTGTGGAACACAAAAGGTCATTGCTCATGGTTTTCAACTCAATTCAAGAGAATAATGACTGGAGCTGTTGAAATCAAAAATGACAAGAAAAAATAAAAATAAAGCATCATAAAAATAGTTCATATATACTATATTCAGATGCATATGATATCTTTTGTGAAGAATAGATGAAAATTTAAGTCATTACTCACTGAAAATCTTGACATTCGGCTTGGTTATGTTCAGGAGAATAGTAGCAATGTCTGATTCAACAAATCCAATGCACCAAATCTGGTTTGAACAAATCAGACTGATGCAAACACATTATCAATTATAAAAAAATACTTAATTTCAGTCTGTTCCTCACACCAGCGTCATTTTCGTATTACTGAGGTAGTTTTATAGTTTTTATTAATATTTTTAATCAATATTCACTTTATATTTTGAGTTACAGTTTTTGTAATTTTGTTGTTTGTTTTGTCATTTTTAGGTTTTTTTTTCTATGTAGTTTATATTCATTTTTATTTTCAGTTAACTAAATTAAAATAGGAAATACTCCCTGGTCAACTAGCTGTTTTTTTTAGATCTTATTCTATTGCTGTTAAGGTTTAGTTTATTTCAAGTAATGATTTTTGTTTAATGGATTTAATTTTAGTTAACTATAATAACCCTGTCTCACACAAAGCTACCGTATGACTTCAGAAGACAGTATGAATCATATGGATACCTTAAAATAATTGTTTTTACTTACTAAAGCATCCTTTTTGAAATCTTGGAAGCTCCCGTGTCCATTCTTTGCAACTGCATGGAAAACAGTGACCGGCACACTATCCAGAATTTCTCTTCCCGCTTTCCATTCATGAAACGAGGTCATACAGGTTTGGAAAGTCAGAAATGGCCTAATTTTAAATGAACTATTCCTTTAAAGAGACATAAAGCTCAAAATGGAAACGGTAAAAGAATGTTCTGGAATGTTCCAGACCTGGACCAGCGAGAGGGATTCTGTGAGGATCTGGACCGTGGCATCTTTATTAGAGGAAACATACTGTATAAAGACTCAAAATGAGGTTGGGACACTACAAAGTCCACTCGTAGAACAGAGGCCACATTGTGCTCTGGGAAACATAGTTCTAACCCTCACCTTCTCTGGAAATAACTCGTCTTTGCGGTTTTTGAGACTTGGGATTTTAAATGCCATGGTCCATTCGCCAGAAACCTAGAAAAAAAATGTGTGATTAAAACCATATTAAACTGATAGATTGCATAGGCTAATATCGCCTGCGGTAAGTATGACTAACTAAATTCCATATTCTGAAGAAAGCATGAATGGGCTTGCCTGTGTGCAAAGCTCTGACCAGACCAGACCAGACCAGAAAGCGAGTTTTCTTGAACCTTCTACATCTTTGTCCTTCGTTCTGTTTTCCTATTTACTTTTCACTTTATTCCCATCTGGTGTGTAGTATTCATGTATTTTTGGCCGAGCAGATTTTCTCTAACTCTCTTTGCTGAGTAGCAGTGTGACTCAGTCCCGCAGTGATGATGAAATTGGTTTCGGGTCCACTGGGTCCAACTTCTGGCAGGAACGGACAAGAAAAAGCGCCAGTAACAAGGAAAATTCTCCTGCAGCCAGAACAGAAAACATTCACACAACACCGCGAAAACAGATACAGAACCATATGAAAACATCTCGCCTAGTGACCAGCCACGAACGAGAGACCCCACTACTTGTTTGTTTTGGACGAGTTGACCATTCAAACTTTGAGATTTACGACAGATAGCTGGACAACTTGCTATGTCTTTTCTACGTTGTCCAGAAGAAGGCTTTAGGCTGATGTCACATCTCACCAATAGAGAATGACATAAATCAGAGGTCTCCAAACTCTGTCCTGAAGGGCCGGTGTCCTGCAGAGTGTAGCTCCAACTTGCCTCAAACACACCTGCATGGAAGTTTGTATGCCTAGTAAGACTTTAATTAGCTGGTTCAGGTGGGTTTGATTAGGGCTGGAGCTAAACTCTGCAGGACACCGGCCCCCCAGGACAGAGTTTGGAGACCCCTGACATAAAATGTCAAAAATACAGTCTACAAGAGCAAATTTTCTGTCGATACTTGCCTGCAAACCACATTTATCCTTTTGTGAGCTACACTAAGTGTTTACAAGCAAAAAAACATTGCTAACTAAACAAGAGTTCTGAAATTAAGAAAATTAATCATTCATGTCAAAAACTGTGTAGGGCGTTTCAAACAGAAATGCAAAACAAAATGACTCGGGCTGAATTCAGAATAGCATACTACTGATTATTTCTGCTATATAAAAGATCTCTCCAGTATGCTATTTCAAATGAGCCCCTACACCCTTCAGCCTCCAAAGCTGTCACTGTGGAGCCTTTCCAGGGAACAGAGAATAGGGATGATCACTTCTTAGTGGAATGCAGTTACTTTAGACATTGCTCCCCTCAATACAGTGCTCACCGTGTTGAGATAACTACAAATCTTGGTAAAGTCAACATGAAACATCTACAAACAATTTTACTTGCATAATGTGATATATCTCTTTTCTCCACATGAAAAAAACTCTTTTTCCATCAGGAATTGGTTAAAAGTGTCTCTATATGGCAAGTAGTTGGAGGGGAGGGGCTAAAAAAATAAGGGCTCCATGATGTCAGCTGTTCAGTTACATATGATGAAAGATTCTGCTTTTTCTTTAGAATTACTGTATAAAGACAGTAAACGGGGTCAGTGTTTGTTGACTTTGAAAGATAGATCGAGTGGTTTTTCAATTTTACACATCACTCTCTCAATCACTGAAAATTTCATCTCAAACAATAAGTCAGCTAATTTCACACGTGTTCGCTAACAGATCCAGCCACACTGAGGATCATTTCTCACCCGGTGAGTCATGCACTAGATGACGCGAGCGTTCTGGCTGCCGTGGCGCTGTGTGACCCACGTTTGTGGTCTTATGGAGACAGAGAACAGATTGGCTTGTCAGAGGTTCGTTTTCGAGCAATGTTTGGTTTAACTGCTACATTGTAATGAAACTCAACATGATAGATGAAGTTTGCTGGAGCCGCTGCATTGCTGACTCATACTGTGGAGAATGTGGAAGGGTCACTGCTTAAGGAGACAGAGAACAGATTGGCTTGTCAGAGGTTCGTTTTCGAGCAATGTTTGGTTTAAGTGCTACATTGTAATGAAACTCAACATGATAGATGAAGTTTGCTGGAGCCGCTGCATTGCTGACTCATACTGTGGAGAATGTGGAAGGGTCACTGCTTGCAGGAGGAGGTAAAGAAGAAGAGGAGGAGGTTGGGGCCCCAACATCTGGATAGCTGACGTGACCTATAGCGACAACACAGTGAAAACGGTGTGAAACGCGAGCCGGATCCGGAATAGAAAGATTTGGATCTAAATCCAGTCTGACACTAATAAAGGCAAGAGATATTGAAAGAGTTTTCGAAAGAATCGGGAATCCAGCATCTGTCTGGAGCTGCAAATCTCAAAAACAGACTTGGCCTTGTAAAACTCACACACACGTCTGCTTCGGTCATTAGTGAAGGGAAAAAAGCTGGAGGGAAAGATTAAGAAATGGTGCATTAGTTAATTTGCTCGAACTTCACCTAAACTCTTATATACATCATTGCATCCCATTAAAGTGGTTATTTAAGCAAGAGATGCTGATATATTGTGAATAAGAGGTCAAGGTTTGGCTGGATAGTGGAAATAAGCACGTACGAGTAAAACAAGACAGCAAATTTAAATGTGCTTACTTCTAGTAAGCCATAACAATATTCACAAAATATTATGTCCTTATTGCTTTTAAAAACAGTCACTTGACTAAGTGTAAATGAAGTGTAAACCTTCCATGAGATCTAATCATAAATAAGCTAAGGTTAGTGAGATAGACTATTACTATGTATATAATATACTATATAGACTAGACTAGAGAATACTATGATGTGCATTTTGGAATGTTGAATTGACCAATCAGCATCCAAGATTGGAAATTTCCATTTTATAATGAACAATACTGTGTATAACTCAACACCACCCTTATTAAACACCTGTGATGGAGTGTGACTGCCACCTAGTGGACACATCATGCAAACACGTTTCTAGATTGCATATTTTGCATATTAAATTATCTTTTTCCCATTCAACATGAATTTAGAATTATCATTACTACTATTATAGTAATTAAAAAATATTTTATTAAATGTCTAATCAATACAGAAATATATTACTATTGCACTGTAAAATAAAAATAAATATTTGATAATTTTATGTATTTATGGATGTCTTCATTTAAAATCATGGAGCTATTTTGACGAAAAACCCAGAGAGACCTTAAAGATAGCTTGTGCAGTGAAAGTCTGTATATGTAAAGCTCGCATCCCTGCTTAATATTATTTTTATGGAATATACATGAACGGTATATTCCAAACTGTATGCATGGAATACCCTATATTCTAGTATTCTATTCCAAACTAGCATATTTCAAATAATTTCCAACACAGAATCAGAAGACTGATATTTGAGGTTTATATTTTTCCATGGGACAAACATTTCTGAGGATAATTATTTAGAGAAAAGCTTATGAAAAACACATTGTCTTTGGAATATTGTTTGCAGATGAATCATGCACAATAAGACAGGGACTGTAAATTTCATGTGGTTTTTTAATTTTTGTTTTGGAAAATATACATAAATTGCTAAAAAATACAAAGAACTGAAAGCTTATTTTCTTAATGGTGCTGCAACAAATAGCAGATATATATTACACAAATCCTTATTTACAAATAAAGGCATTTATTGTTTTGAACATATGAACAAATTTACAAGAACACATGCAGATATGCGAAGCCGCCTTCTCCAGTGATTAAAGATGGCCGTCACATCTGCATGTTCACCTTCTTTGTTTTGGGATAACTTTGTTTCCGCTAGAGGCCACCGGAATGAGAAGTTTCCGATACTCCAGTGGAAGATATTTCTCTATCAGTATATTGACAGGCGTGCTGTCTGTCACAAAGCCCTGCCTGAGAAAAACAAGAGAAACAAGTACTTGAGCATGATAAACAATTTGACATAAAAACAAGTAATATAACTCTATCCAGCTTAAAGGAATAGTGAATGACTCGCAGTGAATGGGTGCCGTCAGTATGAGAGTCCAAACAGCTGATTAAAACACCACAATAATCTACAAGTAATCCACACCACTCCAGTCCATCAATTAACATCTTGTGAAGCGAAATGCTGCGTGTTTTTAAGAAACATCAAGACATTTTTAACTTCAAACCATTGCTCACGGCTAAAAAATGAGTCAATCCATAATATTGTTTCTCCAGTAAAAAAGTTATCTAGTCGGAATCAGGAGAGAAATGTGCACAAATTAACAGTTCTAAACAAGTATGTCTGTGAATTTTGATGTGAGAGAACAAAAGGGGATGGACTTTTTTTAACTAGGAGGCGGGTGTTATTATGGACTCATATTTTGGCCAGAAGTGACAGTTTAACCTTAAAAACGTCCTAATGATGGATTTGTTTCTTACAAACACACAGATTTTCACTTCACAAGACATTAACTGATGGACTGGAGTGGTGTGTGGATTACTTGTGGATTATTGTGATGTTTTTATCAGCTGTTTGGACTCTCATTCTGACGGCACCCATTCACTGCAGAGGATCCATTGGTGAGCAAGTGATGTGATGCTCCATTTCTCCAAATCTGTTCTGATGAATAAACAAACTCATCTACATCTTGCATGGCTATTCCTTTAATACTTACCTTCTCATGAGGAGCTCAAAATCTTCAACCTCAATAGTTTTACGTTTGGCATGAGTAGTGTACGCTTCCAGATCGTCTGCAAGCCGTTCGAAGTACTTCTTAAGACTAAGAGGATTAAAAAAAAAAAAAAAAAAGGCACACAAACATTGGAGGAGATGTAACTTCAAATATTCATGCTGCAATAGGGAAAATAATTGTTCCCTAAATCCTTACATTTCATTAATGGCAGGGTAGATGTCACTGGCCACCCTGGTTTTGGCGAAGTGCTTGAACATACTCATGACGTAACTCTTGGGAAGAACATCAACCCCTGTCTGACGCTTCTGTCTGGGGGCTCGTTTGGCAACCTGAGTGGCAGGACTGAGATAAATGGGTTTTAGATTTGCATTAAAAGACACTGTAACATGGACATCGGGAAAAGGAATGTTAATGGTAAATTACCCAGCATTCACTTCTTTAAGGACTGTTGGCATAGCCTGCGCAATAGAACTTGTGAAAACTCTCTTCTGTCTTACAAACGCAGGAGTTTTCATGGACAGTTCTGAAAGAAAAGAAAAAAACACAACGCTTAAGTAAATGCAAGTTATCCTAGTTATAATAATTGGGTAAAACTGACTCACAAATCATTCACTCAAAAGATTGTAATACATTTAACAATAAATAAATATTTATCATAAGTAATGATAATGAAGAATTTAATTATTTTAGTACAAAGAAATTTTTAATGTATTGGTTGTTATACTAGTTCATTGAAATGAACAATTCAAATGAATTGATTTGTTAAAATGAATCGGATATTGTTGAACCAGTTCATTGAAGTGATTCACTCAAATTAACTGACTTGCTAAAAAGATTTAGGTGTTGTTGAACCAGTCCATTAAATGATTCACTTAAATGAACTGATTCACTACGTATAACTGGATGTTGTTAAACCAGTTCATTGAAATTATTCACTCAAATTAACTGACCCTGCGTCCCAACGTTCATACTATCATGAATGTTCATACTAAAAGATTTAGGTGTTGTTGAACCAGTCCATTAAATGAACTGATTCACTACGTAAAACTGGATGTTGGTAAACCAGTTTATTGAAATGATTCATTCAAATGCACTGATTCACTAAGATCAACTGGATGTGAAAGTGGGAGTCACCTGCACTAAGAGCGTCGTCATCATCGTCCTCTTCCTCCTCCTCTTCCTCTTCCTGTGGAAGTTCAGGGCTCTGACTGGCTGACCCAGAGTCCATCAGCTCCTCCTCCTCCTCTGATTGGTTCAGTTCTTCTGGGGCGTCATCATCTTCTTCAAGCTCTGGCACATCTTCCTCAGCCAGACTAGCCTCATGTTGCTGTGACCTCTGCTCTGGTGTGCTGAGCTCTGCTGCAGGATGGAGCTGAGGAAACTCAGGGCTGCCCAGTGGTTCTCTTTCTTCATCTGAAAAGTCCTGTAAGTCTCTGTTCCCGTCGATAAAATCCAAAAGATCTGAACAAAAACACATTACGTTTTTAGCCTACACACAAACTGAATTATCCATTAATTTCAGTTGTCACTCACTGGTAGGGCTGTCACGATAACCGCAATATTGTAATACCGTGCTATTGACAAGCCAACTGCAGAAGAATGCAAGAACCACAGTAACCGCGATATTTGCGTTTTCTTTTTCCGTAAGGTTATGCCCTTCTTGTTTTACACTTCGTACATGTGTACCGAATATTAAATAAGTTAGTAATGATAACAATGTGTACTATGCTGATTTGTACAGAGGCTCCGTAAATTTGCACTTAAGCCTAAACAGACAGTGAATGAATGAGAGAGAGATCGACTGAGCGCGTACGATTACCTGTGTCTATCCTTCAGCCTGAGTCATATTCGAGTAAAAAGGTTGTCATGTCCAAGGAAAGCGAAACCTCTATCTTAGCATCGACGCATTGCTGGTCAGCTGAGCCTTCTAAAGTGGCGCTCAAAGTTAAAATGATTTTAACAGCTTGTTTCATTACATCTCTCTTTGAATGAACAGCCCGTCCACAATGCACAGGTGAAATATCCGCAGAAAGTCCAGTCAGATTCGAGGATCAGAACTAACTGTTATACATATAGGCTAACAATTAATAGCCCAACGATCTTATTGTCAGGTCTATGTTCTTTTATGTGGACCTTTTTTTTTAGTATTCTCTTCTGTTTACTTCACCTCCTGTTTCAACACTCTATTAAGTTTAGTTTTCATTGGTTTCTGAATATGACATTGTTACATCGCAACACACACACACATTTTATATTTATATATATGTCGATATTACCACATATCACACTATTGAGCCACTCAAAATTACCGCAAGGGAAAGACAGCCCTAGTCACTGGTGAAGAACTTTGTGATTTTGTCACTTCAAGCAGTCCTCACCTTTCTCTCTGGGGTTCAATCCAGCTCCAAAACTCTTTGTGACTCTCGTGGCAGCTGGAATTCCCAAGACAGAGCCTCCTCCCTCTGAGCGGTGAGCTCTACGAGTTATTCGCTCTAGATACTGTGAGGTGTCTGGGTTCTCTGTTCTATGTTTAGCTTCAACAACCTCCTCATCCTCGATTTCCTCAACATTCTCATCCTGAACTTCCTCAACCTCCTCATCCTCGATTTCCTCAACATTCTCATCCTCGATTTCCTCAACATTCTCATCCTTATCTTCCACAACATTCTCATCCTCATCTTCCACAACATTCTCATCCTCATCTTCCACAACATTCTCATCCTCAACTTTCTGATCCACAATTTCCACAACGTTCCCTATCTCAACTTCCTCCACAAATTCTCGATCTTGTAGCTCCACATCACGAGATTCAGGAAGTGATTCTGTCATTGCCTGCGTTGGAGCAAGTACAATATCATCTTCTGGACTCAAAAACACATCCTCTTGGGATGAAGGCACCACATCTTCCTCATCATCATCCTGTGATTCCAACTCATGATCTTTTCCTCCTTGAATTAATGCTGTCATCCTCAATTTCCACAACTTTCTGATCCTCAATTTCCACAACGTTCCCTATCTCAACTTCCTCCACAAATTCTCGATCTTGTAGCTCCACATCACAAGATTCAGGAAGTGATTCTGTCATTGCCTGCGTTGGAGCAAGTACAATATCATCTTCTGGACTCAAAAACACATCCTCTTGGGATGAAGGCACCACATCTTCCTCATCATCATCCTGTGATTCCAACTCATGATCTTTTCCTCCTTGAATTAAAGGTCCTGAGTCGGGAATTTCACTGGCTCTCTCAAGCTCATGTTCTCTCTCGTACTCTGCATCCCTCTCCATCTCTGCAGACGGTCCCACTGTGTCGTCTTTTTTAGGCTGGACGTAAAGCTCTGTGACATCATTGAGGCAGAGTGTGAACTTCTGCCAGGAAGAATCTTCTAGAGTTTTTCCATCCTGAAATACAGAGTGATCTAAAGGAGAGAGAAACCATTTCAGGTACAGACAAAATAGGATGTATGCAAAATTTTAGACTTAGTTTATGTAAACCTTGGCTGGGACCCTGCTCCAAGCATCTCTGAACGGCCTCATCAAATGCATCCACAGACGGCAGCCTCCGATTGGACACCTTCCTCTGAAGCCCTACCCTCTCAATGCGCTTCTCTACAAATGGGGTCTTCAAGGTCAGGTTCAGGCCACTGCCAGAAAATAAATTTGAATGGATCACACAAAATGCCTCAATCATGCAATCAATCATTACATCTTCTAACAGTACGATACATTGTATTTTAATCATTATCATTATTTCTAATGATATTAGAAATTAGATATTTCTCCATTATTTAAGCATATTCGTCTGCAACCTTTTTCCGAAATGGATACATTTAGCCCAGTGTTTTACTTAACCTTCCCAACCTGGCAACCATGTGCAAACCAAGCACTGATCATCTGAAAACACCTGCCAACATGTAAGTTGGAGTTCAGCCATCTCCACTGCGATATTTTTCTCAAATGAAAGTTTAATACAGCCAGTCTGTTTTCTTTCACATGGCAGTTTGCACTGTTTACTGTGACTAAATCTGCAAGAAAACCTGAACTGTAACAAATCCAAACATAAACCTTGACTATACTGTTTGCAATCATGACTGCTGAATAAATGCACTTGCGCTGTTGTTTAAACATCATTTGGAAAAGTGAGAATTAATATTATGAATTTCGCTGGATTAGCTTTTAAGAGAAAGTTCTTTAATGTAAAGAGTGTGTGTTTTTATATAAGTATATCTAGAACCTAAATGAGGTCAAATAAACCATGCGAGTTGACTTTTTTTATTTGTATTTATATAAAATGCAATAATTCTGATGAAATCCAAAAATAAATTTTAATGACAATAATCATGCTTACTGATCATTTCTAAGCAAAATAATTGTGATTATCAGTTTAACCATTATCGTGCCACCCTACTATGTATTATATTGCAGTTCCTAATAAATTTAACAACAAGCTAGTAATTATATTTACTTTCCAATACCAGTTTTAGTGACTAGGCCAGTCTACTGGGAAATAATGGACAAAGCATTTACCTTTTTGAGCCAGAAGACCAATCTAAATCTTGAGATGCATCAGCTTTCTCCTCAGAGATATCACCTTTATGAGAGACATGCGAGACGTCCTCTGTGTTGTCTGAGAATATAGAAAAAGGGTTATATGATACCGAGTTACTTTTTGAACATGTGACAAATTATGTGCCAATATTCCAATTCATATGTATAATGCCAATATTCAATTCCAAACATACACAATCTTGCTAACACATATAACAGGTGAGAATTGGTGAAGCACCTGGCAGTTGATCTAACTGTTTCTCGAACGCTGACGCACTGAAGGCGCGCTGCAGTTTCCTGCGGCTCAGTCCTCTGACCACATGTGTCAGGGGTTCAGTGTTCAGAGTCAGATCAGACAGCTCCACTCCAGACAGACCTTCACTGAGGAAAACACAGACACATGAGCACAACATGAAGAGGATCACAAGTATATGTGATTGAAGAGGTACTGACGTTCTCTCTCCAGCGCTGGACATACTGGCCTCGGCTGGATTCGGCTCTGATGCTTGAAGTGCAGGCTGACCAGACATCAGCAGTGACGCTTCGGTCTCTGAAACAAACATGGGTGAAACATCAAAAACAGGGTTTTTCTGCTTTCTGCCTGTGCGAATGTTTGAGCTGGTAAAGTAAATGTGCTAATATTTAATGCAAATTCTTTAAAGAATTTTTAACTATTTAACTTTAATGTCAAGAACAACTAAGTGTTTCTTGACATTTATTAGTTCATTCCTAAAACCTTGGCAGCAAGTTCTTATTCACCCATCTGAATGATCCCCCTGAGCAGACCACGAGTGGTCATGTCCTCATCATACACTGGGGACGGGACCGTCACAGGAGGGTTCGTATTTGGCACCGTTGACCTTGGCCGTTTAGGTGAAGGGAGGGGTGACAGGGAGGCACTCTGAACAAAAGAAAAAGGTATTAGGAACATAATCATGTAGAATATGCATTTGCAACATATTAAATCGTTTATTTAAACACCACACATACCTCATGGAGCTTCTTCTTGAGTCTGTGTCGTAAGGCAGATCCAGGACTCTCCAGTCCAGGGGTGTTTTTCAGCCTCATGCTCCGCCGTACAATTGTTGCACTGGAACACATTTTAAATATATATTAAATACATATTATACACACAAATAAAAGCAATACACAAAGTTTACAGGGGGAAAAAAATTATAAAATGATGAAAATCAGTTCTAAAATTCTCTCTCTCTATGGATGTTTTGCATTGTTGTGTGGATGGTTTTAGTTAATCATTTTAAAACGTAACAATTAATAAAAATACAGACTTGAGAACTTTGTTTACAACTGGTATACTGATAATATAACTTTCCCTTTATACCATTTTTGTATTTATCCGTTACTCATAAATGTACGTAACTGTTTGTTTATATAATTTATCTGCGTTTGCATAAACCATTCGCTTAAAAGCAAGCAAAAAATCTAAAATTAAGCTGAGTCACTTTTTATTTGTATATAAAATGTAATTGACAATTGAAATAAATTCACCTTCTGGTTACAGGAGACCTTGGTAACTCTGTGTGCAGAACTCTCCTCAACAAAACCCGAGCAGATATGTCGTCTTCTGTTGAATCCATCGTTTCTTATCGTAGTTTATCACAAAATGAAATATTCTCGAAAGCTACAGAACTTTAACAACATAAAACTTAAAGTAAACAAAGAAAAACATCGTCTCCTCATTCGTCTCAGGTTTGAAAATGGAAGTCTCACAACTCCCGCTCGTTCGTTCAAGTGAATCTCGCGAGATTTTGTCAATCGCTTTCATTGGCAGTGTAGTTTACTGCATTCAAGAGGGCGCTCGGCGTAACGAACATCTGTTCATGACATACAAACGAAAACCAGCCCCAATCTATAGGCAAAAACAATGTTTTATTTTTTCATTCACCAATCAGTTTTTAGATTTCAGGCTATTTTTAACCAAACTTTGTACAAAGATGATTCTCATTCTCAACTATATTATGAAAGATATAACAGAATGATTTGATGTACTATTTTACTTTATGCAATGTGTGCGTAAAATGTCCATAAATTGGTATTCCCATTATATACAATGTATCTATACATTGCATCTAATTTGCATATTAACGTGTTCTTGGGGCAAACCAAAATAAAGTAATAACTTGGCAACATTTTCATAAGAATATCTCATATTTCATAGGAATATTGATCTATAATTTCTTTCCCTGTTGACTTGTTGTGTTTCCCCAAAGTGCCTAATTAAGAAGACGTATGAAAATTATGCCCTGTTTCGTAACAAAAAGTCATATTCCGATTTGAAACCCCATAACATTTTTCTGAGATGTTTATTTACGACAAACAATTTGAAAATTGGTCAGATTTAAATGATAATTACAAAACATTATCATATTTCCCAAGAGTGCTAAATTTTATCATTCTGTCAATATCATTCATATTTAAAGACCAAGCAGATGGAGTGTTTATGATCAAACCTCCCAACATTTGATATCTCTGAAAAGGCCTGAATGTGCTCTGTACAGGACATCCAGACTTAAAACCGAGGCATGTATGATCTCAGAGAAATTCACTAAAATATAATGTCCTCAGAGGACAAAAGTCTATGTCTGGGTCCCAGGAGGATATAGCCTCACGAATATAGAATCTTCATAATGAAATCTTACAGAATGTTACAACTGTTTCTTTCGTCTTATATCGATAATTGTTTAAACACTGAGAGAATGCTGTGTGGTTTTGAGCTGTGACATGAATCAATATTACATACATGCAATGTATGTAATATTGAGACAAAACCACAAAAAAAAAAAACTTGGTTAGAGATGCCACGAAGTAGGTGGCAATGCCTTAACCATATGTGTGTTGAAGGTCACTAGGACCTCTTCCATCCTTGTCAAGGGGAGTGCTAACCTTCTCTCCTTTCATACAACACAACAAATAGTGTCTGTTCGCGGAGGATATAAAGGGCGGCAGCTGGCCATTATGCACATCAACGGTGACTTTTTTAAAATTGGAAAAACATACTTCGTTCTTATTATGTGTATTACATATTACAGTATGGACATGTCTGTATATACGTTATAAGCGTATTATTTGGATTTATGTTTTTAAAAAGCTATTTTGCCATCCTTAAGACCCGCGCATTGCTTTCTCATTTGCATCTCCGACATGTCGACCAATCACAACGAGGAAACAACAAACGTCACAGACTCTTGCCAAGATGTCGACCAATGTTAATTGCCCAGGAAGTAAACATAAGCCCATACAGTGTAAAAGCAGCTGTTGCAATACAACTGATATCATGTATGCTATGTGTTTTAATACGCAATTTTAAATATTAATTTATTGACTTTAAATATTCATATGTGGAACATGGAAGAGTTAATGGTTTGCGATGTTCGTTTGGCCAATAATATTAGTACGTTTCAAATGAACCAATGAATAAATACATATTTTGTTCTGAATTCTTATGGATATTTTTGTATTAATAAGACTTGTTTATAAAGTTAACATGAGTGTAAATGTGTACATATTTCAATTGTTTTCAGCCCTGACTCTGCTAGTGTGTTAATTATTTTTGTGTAAAATGATAAAACTAGGATATAATGTTAATATAGAAATGTGTGATGTCATGCAGGTAACTTCAGATTTTCCACACACACACACACACACACACACACACACACACGTCTGGTTTGCTATCCTTGTGGGGACTCTAAAGTGATACACTGAGACAATCATTCATTGATTTTTCCCCTCTATCTTTAATTGGCACAGTTAACACATACAAAGTATTCAGTGCTCCAAAATACAAGCATTGCTCACAGCTCACATGATGCATGTCAAATGTCTGGTTAACCTGTACATTTGGCTCAGAGTACATTTAAATCATTACATACTGTTTATATATATAACCAGCGAAACCAATGAGGTTGCGAGGTTCTCGGCTGGGTGCTCCACAGGGTAAAACCATGAAGACATGAACAAAACAGCTGTCACAATAAATACATACCCATATCAACAGGACATTATTCATGAGTGTAAATATAGCCCCTCCCTTGCCCGACAAACAAATACAGCATTTGAGCATGATGATTGGACGGTTAAGGTAAAGCAGGAAGTCTAATAGATGAAATTAATGAAAATGTGAATCACTGAAGGGACATTAGATAAAAATGAGTTAGATAAGATGGCAAACAGACAGACAGAATTAGTAATTGCACTGGAAGGGCGGAGACAGAGGAGGTGCCAGGGCAAGCAGACATGCTATTGGCCAGTGAAGCCCCGCCCCTGACATGTGCAACAGCCATATGAGCAACCAATGGCCAGCAGCTGTTATCTTTGGGAGGTGGAGTCAAAGGGTCTAAAGGGGTGTGGCCTGATGAAGGAGCCGGAATGAGTGACATCATGAAGAATTTTAATGCTGCGTTCCAACTCAAGAAAGATTCCAGCTTGCAACTTGGAAAAGTGCAACAGAACGGCACTTAAAGACATTTCACATCATACAGTACGTGTGGTTAATGTTAAACAAATGCTTTTAAGCGAATAAAATGTATGAACGAGTCAAAGTTCCTACATCATAAGTTTATATATATGAATGTTTTTTGCTGTGTAAAACACGATTTGTTGATAATCATACACCTGTAAAACATGCTTGCATTGCCATTTTGTTTCTTTATACACTAAAAGTTTCGAATAATTAAAGTTTAGAAAAAAGTTTTCGAAAGAAGTTTCTTCTGCTCACCAAGGCTGGATTTATTTGATCAAAAATACAGCAAAAACAGTAATATTGTGAAATATTATTACAATTTAAAATATCTTTTGTCTATTTTAATATATTTATATTTTTGTGGAAACCGTGATAGACTTCCATTCAAAAGTTTGAGGTAAGATTTTTTTTTTTAATTCAGCAGGGATGCATTTAATTGATCAAAAGTGACAGTAAAGACATTTATAAATATTACAAAAGATTTTTATTGAAAATAATTTCTGTCTTTTGAACTTTCTATTCATCAAAGAATCCTGAATTAAAATCACGGTTTCAGCAGCAAAAACTGTTTTCTGCACTGATGATGATAAGAACCATTATTAATAACTGAGCACCATAATTGAACATCATAATTGAGCAGCAAATCAGCATATCAGAATGATTTCTGAAGGATCATGTGACACTGAAGACTGGAGTAATGATGCAGAAAATTCAGCGTTGCATCACAGGAATAAATTACATTTTAAATTATATTCAAACAGAAAACACTTATTTTAAATTGTAAAAAAAAAAATCACAATGTTACTGTTTTTGCTGTATCTTTAACAAATACAAGCAGACTTGGTGAGCAGAATAGACTTCTTTCAAAACATTAAAAATCTTAATTGTTCCAAACTTTTGACCAGTAGTGTACACCATCTTTCGAGCATCAAGCTATATATAATAGGAATATGGATGGAACACAGCACTGTCGTGGTACCGCAAATTCAGCTCCTTTAACAGACCACATTCCCAGGGTTTTAGTTCGAGGAAAGGTGAGGAAATTTGAAACAAGACAGTTAAAGACAAACACACATACATACACTCACTCGCACAGGCTGAAAGAAAGTTTAGCGCCATTCAGCAGCGATGAAGAGCCGTAAAGCAAAATGATATATGCAGATCATATTCACCTCATTATAAAATAACAGACAGGTAATAAATCTAAATGCTATAATATTTCTCTGATTCACTGATAAAGTTCCTCTCTACAGCAGGAGAATTTAGGCCGAGAGGTCTCTATAGCCTCTTCCTCTCGCTTCTTTCACTGTTCCTCTCTTGGTTTTGTGTCTGTCTCTCATCTGTCTCACTCTAGGGCGATTCATGGAGGGTAGGCTGTAGTTTTCCTCACATGTGGCTGCTGTTTGCCCTGCACCAATGAGTCCTCCTTCCATACTTTACGAATCTGCAGTCATACAAACAAACATATGAAAAACAAAAGAAAAAACATGTTAGACTTGGTGAAAGTAATGGATTCATGGCCGCTATTAAAAGGCTTTTCACACTATACTTAACCCTGGGTTATCTTCTTTTTATTTTTAAGTCATTTCCTTACGCCAGTGTTGTTTCAGTATTATTTATATACTATTGTAGTATTTATTAATATTTCGAATTAGCTGTTATTTTTCATTTTAAAGTTATGTGCTTTTGTCATTTTTATGAGGTTTTGTTTTCTTTAAATCTTTTTTATTTTTATTTCAGTTTTAGTGTTTAAAGTGTTTTAGTGACTTATTTTATTTCAGTTAGTTGTCAAGGCAACATTTACATTTTGTTTGATTTTTTAAAAGGTTTTTTACATTTAAGTTTGTCATCTAATATATATTTTATTTTATTTTATTTCAGCTTTATTCCAATTCACAAAAATGATTTTTAATAGTTTTATTTTTAATAACTACAAAGCTCCACACATAACATGAGGGGGAAAAAAAAGAAATCTTTCCCATAATTTAATCATTTGTTCCCATGATATATTAATTAGTTCCCTTGTTTTAGGTAAATAATGGCCACTGTTTAAATAAACTGAAACAATGTACAACACCACAATTTAACTAAACAAGGGAACAAATGAATAAGCCCTGAGAACAATGTCTACTACATATACAGTAGTTACTGTACAATGCTATATACTACAGTGCCAAATGTACACAGCAATTAACCCATGATAAACTAACAGTGTGAAACATGGAACAAGATAATCCAGGGTTAAAAAACAACTATGATAACAAGTGTGAAAAGTCAATTTGAATGCATCCCTAAACACACACATATGACATACAGTATATGCTAATATGAGCTGAAAACTTACAAAATGAACTGGAAAATATATATACAATATAAACACATTGGATTGTTTGTAGCATGATTTATAATATGCATGATTTGTTGGCAAGAGTATTTCAGTGTTCTTGGTTGAATTCAAGAACAAACGTGACCTGAAACGCACTCAAACATGCATTTATGCAGTGAAAAACTGCCAAAAACTCACTCAAACAGTCAGAGGACTCAGACTAAGTTTAGTGTTTTCAGCAATCAAGATCTGCATGTAGATTATCTCTGTTGGTTTGTGAAGCAGATTGGGTTTTGTGTGTGTGTGTGCATGTCATTTTGCAGACAATTCTAACTTAAAGGTGGCATAAGTAGGTTAATGCATGTCTAAAATGAAATAAAAGTCAGACTCCAACACTTCATTCAGAGGAAATCACACTTGTGCAGTATTAAACTGTTTTAAATGTCAAACGCAATTCATTCTAGATCTCTTCAAACACACGGTTAACGCACTCAACTAGAACTCCGTCTCACCCTCAGAAAGAAAAACTCTTCTCCAGGAAAACACATCTGTGAGGAAACATTCAGAAAAGATTCATATTCACGTCATATTTAATCTAAAATGGCATTTAAGCTCTTAGGAATAAAGATCAGGAGCACCAAACATGATTGTGAGGATGTGATGCATACTATGCGATCAGGATTTATGAATGCATACTGTGCTTTTACTAATTTATATTATGTTTTTGTAAACGTCTATGTATCATATCTGTTTTCCAAGGTTATTTCTTCTCTTTAAGACTATCAATATCAACTACAAGTGTTGAGATTGAACACAATGTGAAGAAATAATACAGCTAAAGATCCAAAAAGGCAGTCTCTGCCTAACTCATATTTGCAAGTGATGTGCTTTTCACAAATATATTTTGTGAAAAGGAAATTATACTTTTTTAGGCTACTTGGAAACTGTTTATTATTACTAGGGCTTGACTAGTGGTTATAAAAAATTGTTTTTGGGGGAAAAACACTAGCCTAATTTGACCTTCAGTTCATTTGCATATGAAAAACTTGCATGTATCTCTTTATATATGTGTGTGTGTTGCATTTTTGCCTGTACATTTAGTCGGAGTGATCTAACATGCACTGCTACTCAATATGACAAGATACTACCGCCATATTAAACTATGGAGGGCTAATATCTAAAACCATCATGTGCTAAGACATATACAATCATTTAGTCCTTCAGTTTCAGAAAAAAAGTGTCCGCTTAACCAAAAACAATCTAAAAAGTCAAATTGTTGGCTTGGAGAAGGTCAGGATCACACACACCCCCTAGACGTCTCCTTAAGTGTTCATACACAAACACACTTCTGAGATCACAGGACCTAAAGCTTAGGGTCATATGTAGGTTATGGCACCTTTGGCGTTGGAGTCCAGAAAGACCTCGACGTAGGATGTGGGCACATAACCCTCCTCTTCCTCGTTTCTTCTAATACGCGTCCATCCGTCACCTTTGTCTTCCTCTATTACATACAAGAGCTCACCCTCCACTACTGAGATGGTGCCTTCATTAGCACCTACAGAGAAAATTGGAAGAAAAGCAATCAATCCATAAATAAAATATGTATATACACTACCATTTAAAAGTTTGGGGTCAGTAAGATTATTTAATGTTTTTGAAAGAAGTCTCTTCTGCTGAGCAAGCCTGCTTTTAATTGATCAAAAATACAGTAAAAACAGTAATATTGTGAAATATTATTACAATTCAAAATAAGCGTTTTCTATTCAAATATATCTAAAATATTATTTATTTATTCCTGCGATGCAATGCTGAATTTTCAGCATCATTATTCCAGTCTTCAGTGTGACATGATCTTTCAGAAATCATTCTAATATGCTGATTTGCTGCTCAAGAAACATATTATTATTATTATTATTATTAATGTTGAAAACAGTTGTGCTGCTTCGATGTGCTGCTGGAAACGATGATACTTTTTTCAGAATAATTTGATGAATAGAAAGTTCAGCATTTATTTGAAACAGAAATCTTTAGTAATATTATATTATAAATGTTTTTACTGTCACTTTTGATCAATTTAATGTGTCCTTGATGAATAAAAGTTAAAAAAAAAAAATTTTTTTTACTGGCCTCAGTAAGGTAACACCTACAATAAGCTTCCATTAGTTAGCATGAGTTAATGAATTAACTAGCTTTTACTAACAATGAACATTTCAGCATTTATTAGTCTTTGTTAATGTTAGTTAACAAAAATTTCATAAATTAATAGATACATAAATAAAAGTTCAAATTAACTAAAATTAAATGCTTAAGTATTTTTCATGGTTATTTCACGTTAACTAACGTAGTTAACAGATGTTAACAAACGGAATCTTATTGTAAAGTGTTACCATATATACTACCATATACATATATGAAGAAACCACTTTTTTGAGGTTTTATTACTTAGGATGCTGTCTTAGCAGGTACTTCTATATGCATTTGACAACAGACAGTGAAGCAGCTCACTAGGGTTTTAAACAGAGCCCATATTTTTGCTGTAAATGTTTGTTTAATTATGCATTTATACATGAAATACCTTCAAACGGGTAGAGGGCTTTGCAGGTGCCGATGGTCGGTAGCATTTCTTCATCTGCGTCATCAAATTCATCTCCAGACTCTGCTGTTTCAGGTTGGACTTTACTCTGGACCTCAGAACTCGGTTCCTCTGTATAACTGCCATCCGGACTGCTCCATCACACACACGCACAGACACACACACACACACACACACACACACACACACACACACACACACACACACACGTACACAATAACTATAGCAACTGTTTGCAAAGCACTGTGGCAGTAAAGTGACTGTAAATTCAGTGTGTATGAATATGTTAATATTAACAATAATAATATTCTTATTTGATAGATTTGTGTGTGTGTGTGTGAGTGAGTGTGTACCTCTCTCTATCCTGTGCGCAGTTGTTGTTGGTGGGTGGTGTGCTGTTTTGGGTCTCGTATAGAACACTCGTCCTCTTCAGAGGGTCACTCTTTACCGGCATCCTTCCTTCGACCTCCGCTAACCAGCCCTAAAGCACACACACACTAATTTCCACTGAACTGAACTACTCATCCAGGCCTGTGCTGTATTTGGAGATGCTAAATGACACACACCTCAAATTTCTGTGCCTCTGCCTGCAGCTTCTCAATGTTGTGGGCGATCTCTGCTAACCGAGGGTCCACGCTGTTGGGATCCCCCATCTGTGGGTTCTTCACATACACTTCCTTCATTTTAGTCAAAGCATCTCTACAGAGAAAAAGTACACATACATATATTTGCTGACTAAATCCAATAAAAACCTGACCTAGTCAAAATGTTCAAAAAGGATTATGTAGAGCATTTCTACAGAAATTTCATAATCGGAATCAGAAAATCAGAATCAAATAAAATCTTGAAGGATTCTTGATTTTTACATTATATTCTTGAGTCCTACTGAATATTGTATATCTTTTTCAAAACTCATTCCATACTGTATTGAATAATGTTGTGCTGCTGGAAAGTTAAAGATGGCTAAAGTTATAAGGGTTTTAAAATACTAAAAGATTTAATTTAAATTTGATTTCCTTTTCCCTTTGCAATCATAGAAATGCTGGGAACCATGTGTTCTCAAAAAAAAGTTGGAATCCTGAAAGAAAATTCCCAGGTATACCTTTGGATTTCTTAAATTCCAATCAGATTCCTTAAGGATTTTGTTTATATAAACATTAATTAGACATGCAATTTTTTTCAAATGTGAATATTAAACATTATACAATTAAGAGGGTAAAAAAAAACAAGAAAGAAAAACAAAAAAGTGAAAAAGAACTATATAAATAAATAAATTATGTAATTATGTAAATAAATAAATATGTATGCAAATAAATATGTAAATAAATAAATATCATAATTAAATAAATAAATAACTTTGTTAATAAATTATGTAACTAATAAATGTTGCAAATGTATGAAAATGAATAAAATAAGCAGATAAACATGTAAATAAATACAATAAGTAAGTAAATACATTAAGTAAATACATAAAAAAATAAAAAATAAAATAAAACAACAAGTAAGAAAGTAATTGGTGGGTAGGAGTAATGTAAAAATCTGAAAAAGTGTACAATCTGCTATAAAAATATCAAATAATACTTTGTAAAATAAGTTGACAAACTATTAAAGTCTTTATATATTTCTTTTTCAAAGAGTCTTTATTATTGTCTATATATCCATTGGGATTTTTGACTAGTGTATGGCAGGATATATGAGTTTGTGTTTCTATTTGTGTGTGTTTGTCCATGTCTGTGTACCTCTGGTCCATCTCTTTCTGTATGTCTTTATTGATGTCGTCGATCTTCGCCTGAAGCTTCTTCCTTCTCTGCTCTGGAGGAAGATGACTGAAGTCCTCAGGATTCGAACCCTGAGAGGAGACAGAGAGGAGGACAGACAGCCAGTGAGTATCTGCACCTTAAAAACTGTCACTGTCCTGTTAGAATCTGCAAATATATAAACAAATATGTATAAAGGGGGGCAGGCCAAACCAGGACACATCCAATCACATCAATGGACTATTAAAGAATCTCCTGTTCCTGTCATCTGGTTGGCTAGCTGCCTTTGGAAAGGAGCCAATCAGCTTTCAAATCAAGTGTTTATCAAAGGCAAACCAGATGAGCTAATTAACCTATTCAGTCCAATGCCAACAACAACACTGATTAAACAGTTCTCATAAAATAACCTCTTATCTTGCTGGCTCATCTTTGAAATCTGATTCTGGTTGAGCTGAGAGATTTGGTTTGCATCTGTCCTTATGTGCCCTCTTTCTATCTCGCTCTAATATCCTGTTCCTGTCTACATTAATGTATTGATCCTCTGAACACTCCAGCCACTGTTTTTTCCACATTAGTTCTCTCTGGCATGCATTATTTGCCACAATGATTTCAACCACATGGTGGCGCCGTGAATTTCGGGAGGTTAAACCTGCTGCAATGATTTTTAACCCTATGAAGCCTACTGTATCATATGTGATAGGCACATTTAAGGCCTCCAAATAATCAACATGATTAAAACTTTGCTTAAAAAAAACCACAAACACAATCTACTACATGCTTTCTGTGGTCTGATCGATACTTTTTTAGCAAGTAAAAGGCCTCTTAGTATAAATTAGGTCATGGTACATGTCTTTTTGCTGTGAAATCTTGCAAAAAGTAAACGTGTGAATAACTTTTATATTGTTAATAATATTTCAAGATGAACACTTACTGGACTGAAGCAACTTATTTTTGCTTAATTATCCATATATAATTTTTTTGAAAAATCATGTTCAAATGTATCAAATATGATTATTATTATCAGGCTTTTGAGGAAAGTTTATTTGTTCATCTCTCAATCATCATTGTATCTTATTCATTCACAGCATTTCTATAATTCGAGTTTGGACTGAATAGGTGGACGGCTGTATCTTTCTACAGTCCTGCCCACAGGTCAACGCAAGCATCTCACTAAAAGGTCAAAGGTCACAAAGCAGGCACAGCGACCTTACCCCTTCTTCCACATCTCCATACTGTCATGCAACAATAAACAACCAGATTTTTCTGAGCATGCATTGCACTGTCACTCAAAATACAGTTAAATAAAACCACAAAATCATTGCAGGCAAATGTTGAAAATTAATAATCAAGGTCTACACCAGCACAATATACATGCTAAACTCACTGTTGTACTCACCCTCTTCACAAACAAAGACAAATTGTTCAAATAAAATGTTAATTATGTAACATTCTGATTATTTACAAAAAATAAATCTCAGAAATGAACTCAAAGAAATTATATGGATCAAATACGCATATCTATGAACAGATTTATGTTTAAATATAACCAAACATTACCTACAATGTAATAGTCTATAAATCACACTACACCATCAGTGTTTCAATAATCACATGTAAAAAGTTTTGGGCGGGGTAGTGTAGTGTCGGGGTAGTGTAGTGTCTAAAATAGCAAGACACTCTGTGATTGGTTAAGATATTTTATCTATTCTAATCACTGATAATTATTAATAACACTTTATTTATATTATTTTTCACCCTCATGTCATTCAAAACCAATTTGACTTAATTTCTACAGTGAAACATGAAAGAAGATATTTAGCAAAATGTGCATGCTGCTCGTTTCCATAATGAAAGTGAAAAGTTAAACCAAGCCTCTCCTTTTGTGTTCCACAGAAAATCAAGCCAGAGGTTTAGGAAGACATAAAATAAAGACTATATATTAATTCTGCATGTGAACTATTCCTTTAACTTACACTATAACATCAACAGATTCTCTAAACTACATTCAAAATTATCGCATTTCAGCATATTATGCCACACATCTGGTTAGGGATCAAATTAATCAAATTGTTTGAAATACATAAAGACCGAATCATGGACAGATAAACAAACACAGGGACAAAAAAATGGGTTTCAGATCACCTCAATAAGGTTCCGCACGTGGGCATTGAGTGAGAGCTACACAGAGGGACAGTCACCACAGCAACAAGACGAAACAAAACAGACATCAACAAAAAGATAAATCAGACAACATGGTTTTGAACTTAAATAGACACAAAGGTCAAATTATATAACAAAACAATACCAAAAGTGTTGTTAAAGGGATAGTTCACCCAAAAATGAAAATGTGCTGTTAATTTACTCAGCAACTTTTTTTGTGAGTAGAACAGTAAAAATGATTTTCAGCTGAAACCGTGGTCCTTGTTGATTCATAAAATGCAAATCAGCAGCTACCAGCACTTTAAGAGTCAAAAAAGCATTTACAGGCTAGACCAAGTTAATTCCCATGGCTCCTGACGATATATTGAGGTCTTATGAAGCGAAACGAACGGTCTGTGCAAGAAGCTGAACATTATTTACAACATTATTACCTGTAATCCAGAGCCTCAGGCAAATGGGGGAAATATGATTATTTTCCACAAACTGGTTATTTCAGTTTGTTTGAACTGGTTCAAATAACTCATTCACCAGTTGTTTACGTAATCACACAATGTCACATTATTAAAGCACCCAATAATGATGTGATACGAGAATGTTTTACATGTCTAAAGCATATCAAGTGCATAAACTAGTCTTAAAGGGGTCATATGATGCGATTTCAAGTTTTCCTTTCTCTTTGGTGTGTTACAAGCTGTTTGTGAATAGATAAGATCCTTAAAGTTGCAAAGACTAAAGTCTCAAACCCAAAGAGATATTCTTTATAAAAGTTAAAGGTGCAACACGTGATTGTCTTCAGAAATATTTTTTTGTTATGCTGGTTGAAAGTCTTTTTACATCAAGATAGCAATCATTATGTTAAGTGGTCTAAATGTATTTATCTGTATTTATATATTCTGTGGAAGGTGTAGGACCAAGAAATGTTCGTCCAATCAAAACGCTCGACCGAGCTGCCTGTCAACGTCTGTATTAGCATACCTCTGCGCACCCTGTTCGCGCAGACAGGATACGTCATCAGCGCATTCACGTACGCTGTGCAGACAGAGCGAGAATGGCAGACAAACATCAGCAACCCGATCTTCCTTCCTGGTATTGTAGTACTTTTAAAGTTTTCTCAACGGTGAATGACACATGATGTAGCCCAGCGGTTCCCAATTCCTGTCCTCGCACCCCCCCAGCTCTGCATATTTTGCATGTCTCGCTTAGTTAACACACCCGATTCAGGTAAGCAGCTCGTTAGAAGTGAGCTACGTGCACGAACTGTTGTTACGATCGATATGATCCCTACACAGTGTTCATTGCTCCCTACTCCTGTGGTGTCGTCTGCTGCTCATCTTAGGAACCACACTCAGTCTTGGGTTTTGATGCCAGGAGATACACTTTATTACATCATCAATGAGAATAAAGCGGAGATGCTCTCTGCAGCGAAACATCTCCAGAATGTCTTTCTGTCTCCCTTTTTATACAGGTTGGATTTTAAGGCGTGGGGTATATATCCCATACAGTTTTCCATACATAGAATGGTTCCTTTGTGCATACAATTCTCCCTAGAGAGAAAGCCCCCCCACACTCTAGTCTTGTTATGGTAAAGAAAGAAAGCCCCCACTTATGTTTCCCAGATGTTTCTCATCTGAGGTCTGTACATTCTGCCACGTAGGCCTGTTTCTACACACAGGCATATGGGATTATAATGGAAGTATAACTGGATATTTAAATGGCTATATTCATAATGATTATACTTGATTAATTCCTATTTGGATTAATAAAAATCTTCTACAACTTCAGATATAAAAAACTTAAACCGCATAAACACATTTCATTACACCAATTACACAAAATAATCTTCTTTATTCTTTTTAATAACATCATATGACCCCTTTAAAATGTTTTATATAAACAATGAACAAGCATTTCACCCCTTCATTCAAGTGCTTGGTTCACTCATGTGCATATCACCAGCTCATCGATCTTTGGTCAGAGTCTGAACTGTTTCCTCAGTTCAGTGACTGCTGGAGGAACTGGAGCACTGAATGAGTTGGCAAAACCAGTATTATTGGATCATATATGCTGGTATTTTAGTGACTGTCAGGCAATGTTCAGTTTCTTGCACAGACCGATTGTTTCTCTTCATAAGACCTCAGTATAAAGTATGCAGCCACAGGTATTAATTTTGTGTTCTTTGATATGCTTTTTTTATTATCACAAATGGGCAATCGCTGACTTGCATTTTATGAATCACCAAGGACCAACCATGGTTTGAGCTCTTCTCAAGAAAAAAAGGCATATTGGATTACCTGAGGGTGAGTAAATTAACAGCAAATTTAAATTTTTGGGTGAACTATCCCTGTAAACAAAAATATCCATAAGGGTTGAACACAAAGGAACAAAGTAATGTTAAAGGACCATGTGTTACTACAGCGACGGACATGCCACGGTCATGCCGCTACGACATGCTACTGAGGTCATGCTTACCAGCTTTAAAGAGAGCTTCTCACGGACGAAAAGAGAGAGCAATCGAGGGAATGAACCGAGAGAAGAGAGAAAACATCAGAGGGAGCGACATCAGATCGCTGTACACGTCATACACACACATGCAGGTGTGATCATGCCTTATGATGTCATTGATGAAGCCCACTACATCATAGTTCACATTTGGCTGGCCGGCAGTATTTTGTGCTCCGTCATGAGACAGATTTCTGCTGGCAGAGCCTATATATATACATACATACACAAATTACTTATTTTTCCAAAATGAACATGTCCACAAAAATTTTGGATAAATTTGTATTATCTAAGTATGCCTAAGTAAACCCACACACACTCTTGCCTCCTCTCACACACTTACGACATATTGCCTGGCCTCGAAAGCATACGTAGGCCGACCGAGAGTCCTCTTCATGATTTCTTTATTATAATAGAGAGACTGGGCAGACTGCAGCAAAGAATAAACCCTAATTAAACACACACACACTCACGCATAACTATACAAACACACACTCGCTTGCACACACCATCACTCTACAAACACATCAGATCGCTGTACACGTCATACACACACATGCAGGTGTGATCATGCCTTATGATGTCATTGATGAAGCCCACTACATCATAGTTCACATTTGGCTGGCCGGCAGTATTTTGTGCTCCGTCATGAGACAGATTTCTGCTGGCAGAGCCATGGGAAATTGAGTTGAATTGAGTCTCACTTTGGCACTTGAATGGGGAAAATGTCACATTAGCGGAAGTACAGGCCTTCTGTGTGCATTTATACTCCAGAACCTTTAAATATTCCAGAATGTTCTAAACATTTAAAGGGACAGTCCACTAAAAAAATGAAAATTCTGTCATCATTTACTCACCCTCACGTCATTCAAGACCTGTTTGCGTTTCTTTCTTCTGCTGAACACAAAAGAAAATATTTTAAAGAATGTTGGTGACAAAATGGTTTCGGTTCTTATTGACTTCGATAGTGTGGACAAAAACACTATGGGAGTCAATGGGAACCAAAACTGTTTGTTTACCAACATTCTTCAGAGAATTGCATACAGGTTTGGAATGGCATGACAAAATGTTCATTTTGGGTTGACTGTTCCTTAAGTTGATAAATTCAATATTGTAATATTGCAATTTTTAGTAATATTGTACCCTAATGATGCAACAATGTTCAACAAACCCGCTTTACTGCTGTAGTTTGATGCATTTGCATACAAGGAGAAAAAATAGGATGCAATTTGATTTTATCCATTAGGTATTGACTGGCATTTCTTTTTTGATGCAGTGAACTTCAGCAGGTACCAATGAACCAATTACACACAATGTTACAGGGTCACATGAGGATGACATCATCAGTCCTAAAGCAATGGTCAGCCAATAAACAGAACACGTCAGGAATGGGTGTACAAGAGAGAAGACAGAGGGAAGAGAAAGAGAAACAAAAATGAAAATATTCTCAATAAATGGGCTTGTTTTTGAGGCAGTCATCACACCAGAGAGGATTCTGGGTAATCATACCTGAGTAAGGATCTCAAAACAATGCAATTAATGGAGAAAAAGTAGTAAAGTGTGGTAAAATGTGAAGTAAATGGCTAGTTTTGACCGAACACCTGAGATTACTAAATGATTGTTTTAATCATGAGAGATTAATAAGAGAATATTTAAACAAAAAACATAACATAAAATGAGACATAAATAACTATGCAAATAAAATACCATTTTTATATATAATTTAAAAAAACAAAATATTAAAAATAAAAATGAAATATAAAGATATATTAAAAAATATAGTATGATTATACAAAATATAGCATATAGAATTTATTTTAATTAACATGAATTCAAATATGCAAAATGCATGAAAAATAGGAAGTATATTTATTTATATATTTATTTTGTACACCTTGGAATAAAGCATGATTATCATGTAAAAAATATAATTTCATAAAAAAACTTGAGATAAAAAACACATGTATATAAATAATTATGCAAATAAAAAACAAAATAATAAAAATTAATTAAAATATAAAAATATAAAAACAGATAGTTTGTTTATTTATTTATTAATTCTTAATTTATTTATTGACTGCACTTTGAAATAAGGCATGCTGATGATTATGAAAAAAATATTATTTAGTACTCTAATTTTAATGAAGCTGTGAGAGCAACAACCTCCCTATTTCTGTGAAGACATACACTATTGTCTGGACTTCTTCATATTTTAGGGTGCTCAAACTATGGAGCTATTTTTTTTTTTTTTTTTGTGGTTTTGACAAATATATTTTGACAAATGCGTAAACGCACTGACAGGACGTACAATTCAATGTTCTCGAACTCATGAATGTGCCAACAGGATGTAGAATTCAATGTGTTTATAACGGACATAGATAGCGAACACAGACGGGATTGTTTGTGTGAACGTGATGTACATAGAGATAAACATCCAATATATCAAAAGCAGCAAAATGACACCAAAAGGGGTGAATTCTGAACATATCTTTATGTTTGATAAAGTGTTACGAGCAGCGGAAAGGTCAAAGATGATGCACAAGGCTCGCATTCAGAAGTCGCACTCGTGACACTTTGAGAATTAACCCCTCCCACACAAGCTGATTTGCTGCCATTGCACAGGGGGCGGAGCCAGGCTGCTGGGGTTGCACATGGGAGGTGGGGCAAAAGCCAGAAGAGCCAATAAGGGAGTCAGTTAATGATGATGTAATTTTTCTCAATTACAAATGGATTTTAATACCGAATATCAGACATTAACCTCATTCAAGGGATGAATTCAAAGAGATACAAATTAATTAAGAAATTTTAATTTTTGAACAACATCACATTAATTTAAAAAAAATGAGGTTAAGTCTGTTAAATGTATTTACTCTATTTCAGCTATCATTCAAGCACACACACAACTCTATTTTAATAATAATAATAATAATCTCTAATACTAATTATCAAAAACTTACCCAAACCCTAATTGAAAATATTGAATTAAAAAATTACATATATATATATATATATATATATATATATATATATACATACATACACAAATTACTTATTTTTCCAAAATGAACATGTCCACAAAAATTTTGGATAAATTTGTATTATCTAAGTATGCCTAAGTAAACCCACACACACTCTTGCCTCCTCTCACACACTTACGACATATTGCCTGGCCTCGAAAGCATACGTAGGCCGACCGAGAGTCCTCTTCATGATTTCTTTATTATAATAGAGAGACTGGGCAGACTGCAGCAAAGAATAAACCCTAATTAAACACACACACTCACGCATAACTATACAAACACACACTCATGCACACCCCATCACTCAACAAACACACTTTTATACATAAATATACACTCAAAACATTTTTACACTAGGATGAACACACATACACGCTTTCTGCATCAATAAACCTGCAAACATATACAATTCAAACACACACACACCTAACTGACTATCAGGCACCAAAACACACTAACAGACACACTGACATTAATCTGTAAGATGTTCTCTGATTATTATAGTCTTACATAATAAATAAGTGACATGTTATAGTGTATAAATTATAGTCTAGTAGCGTAGCCAGCAAAAATAACATACAAATCCAACTTCTTCAACAAGAATGCTCTAAAACACACTACCATTGAAAATGTTGGAGTCAGTAGTCTCTAGGTAAGTATCTAATTCTCACCAAGGCTGCATTTACTTCATAAAAAATACAGCAAAAACAGCAATATTGTGAAATATTATTACAATTTAAAATAACTTTTCTATTTGAATATGTGTTAAAATATGTGATGCAAAGCTGAATTTTCTCCATCATTACTACAGTCTTCAGTGTCACATGATCCTTCAGAAATCATTCTCATATGCTGATTTAATGTTTAAGAAACATTTATTATCAATGTTGAAAACAGTTGTGCTGCTTAACCATTTTTTAGGATTCTCTGATGAATACAAAGTTCAAAAGAACAGCATTTATCCAAAATAGAAAACTGTTGTAACGTTATAAAGATATTTACTATCACTTTTAATCAATTTAATGCGTCCTTGCTGAATATAAGCCTTAATTTTATACCGACCTCAAATTTTTGGAAGAGTAGTGTAGATCAAATCATGTAAACCATAAACACATATATTATAAACAAGCCAGGACCACAAATGGAGAGAATGAAAGTGTCAAAGACCTTCACATGTTCAAGTTTGTTCCTCTATTTTTAAACATTTGTGTCTATAACATCCTTTCTTTCTTCAGCGGTGACCTGATTCATGCTGCTAGCATTACTGTTGAGTCGGTTGTTATGTTAAAGATGTGGACAATACGCTTCAGCATGATGAACCTACCCGTGAACTTCCGATCAAAAATAGGAAATGATAAATCAGTTTTTTTGTTTACTGACCATCAATCCTTGTGAAGCTGAGAGGAATATCAGTGCAGTTTGAAAAGATAAAAAATATCTGAGATTTGCACAGGGACATGGGAAAGCGGGATTTGCTCCGTTATCTGCTGTGTTTTGCATCTGTTATCTAACAAAGTCATTCAAAAGTCTGAATCTCTGCTCGCATACGCGGAAACACGCGGAAGGCCTTCCTGAGGGGAAGGTGAATCTGGGCTGACTTTATCAGAAAGCCGCATGTCAGCATGTGTGTAAATAGAAGACATTGTTTCTGAGTGTTTGTGTGCGTGTAATCGCATTACTCAGGACAAACCTTTATGTTTGAGCACCCGTTTTTATTTTATCTGTCACCACAGGGTGCCTTCGACTGGCGCCCCTGTGTGTTGAGTGCATAATTGTGTTTGCACGTATCTGAAAACGTGAGACAGTGAAATCATGCTTAAACGCAAACATAAGAAAGAGAGAGAGAGACACAGACTGACAGAGAGAGAGAAAGAGAGACGGCTGCGTGAGGTGGAGGAAAAAGGAGCCGAAAGATATAAACAATTCCACTGCTGCTTCCAGAATCAGGACATCATCGCCTGCGGACTCAGAGTCACACTATGACATCATCGCTTCAGAAGCTAATGCTGCCTTCAAGTCCTTCTAAGTCAATATTTAGTCATGTGTGGTCACATTTTGGTATGAAAAACATTTCAGTTTCATATTTCATTCACACATTTCCACAAAGACAGGAAGAGTTTTTTTAGCACTAGTGCAACAAAATAAAGGGCAAGGAATAATATAATTTAATTTAGCATAATTGAATATAATACAATATTCAAATTTAAGTTTTTTTTTTGTTTTTTGTAAAAGGACAATTGTTGTCTAAAATGCTTGCTGTTTTTTTTTTCATTAATTAAAACTACATTGAAATGAAATAGCATATAAATATTAGACAGAAAAGATAAACTTAAAAATTGTAAACATACAAACAAAACAAAAAATATTGCCTGAGCAACTAACTGAAATAATAAGTACTAAAATTACTAAACCTAAAACTGAAATGAAATCAATTAAAGCTAAACAGAAATATAAAAAAAAAAACCGAATAAAAATGACAAAAGCATATAACAAAATTACTAAAACTTAAAAAAAAGTAAAAATTGAAATTGAAAGTGTAACTATAAAATCTAACTAAAAATATAAAATTACAAAGCCTAAAACTGAAATAAATTAAAACTAAATAAAAATAAATAATAAAAAATTAATAAAAAAATAATAAAAATGACAAAAGCACATAACAAAATTACTAAGACTTCAAATATAAAACAATAAATTTAATAATTTAAATATATAAAAATAAAAAAGTAAAAATTGAAATTGAAAATATAAAATCTAATTCAAAATATATTAAAATAACACTGATTGTGGCAGAGATTCTTGGTAATAAAAAAAAATGCAAATTGTACACATATAAATACCAAATTTATTCAAACTCTATTTTTTAAAGGTTCTTAAGAAAAAACTCAAAAAAGAATTTCCCTGATTAGAATATTTCATTATAGAGGGACACTAAAAAGTCCACAAGTCGAGCACAAAATTTAGTTAAATTCTGGAAAATGTACAGTTATTAACAGTATTAAAAATGAATAAATATAAATAAATATCATCGATATATCTATAATATTATAGATATATAATAAATAAATGTAAAATTAAACATAAAAATTAACAATATAACCACTGTATTCTATCCATTAAAACCAGAATTATTGCTAAATAAATAACATAAAATAAAGAAATAAATTAATAAAATATTTATTTTCTTTTGAAATCATTTTAAGGCACAGAAAAATTCCTCTGACTGAAGAATCACCCAAATATGATATGATTCAGTCATGACTTAAAGGCAGCATTAGTCACATTATGACATTCATTGTTTTATATTTAGATTATGATGCAAAAACACCTTAAAATGATAATTCGACTCCTTTTTTCTGAATGGAAACGTACACTGACATGAGAGTACAGCCGACGACAGGCACAGAGCGGCACACGTGCACCCACACACTTACTTTAACACACGCACGTGGAAGACGTGGAACCTCAGCATGCACGGATACTTACCCCTCGCCGGAGGCTCCTGAGGCAGTGCATTTTGGGCTTGGAGGTCATGAGGTCGTTGAATCGGTGGGACAAAATGAAACGAATTAATCAATTAATCAATTAAAAGAACAAAGGAGAACGCAAACTAAAACGGAACGTAAAAGAAACGGCAACTGAAAGAAACACGCTGCAGCTGTGGTGTTATTAACCCTGTGAGTGAGAGAGTTAGTGCGTTAAACTCTGTTCCATACATCAGGGGTCACATGCAGGGGTCAAATCACCGCAGAACCATTTCAAGGGACGGATCACCCAAAAATAAACATCACGTCAATGACTGTCGTTCTTCCGTGGAACTCAAACGGGGATGCTTATGCTGCTTTTTCAATGTAATTGAAGCGGATGGGGACCATGGGCATTCATGAGCTTCAAAAATGACTAAAAGCACTGTAAAAGTAGTACATATGACTAGATTCCAAGCCAAACAATAGCTTTGTGTGAAAAAAAAGACCCAAGTCATTATTCACTGATGATCTGTCACTGATAATTCACCTATGTGTCAATTCAATTCAATTTTAAGTACTTTATTGGCAGGATTGTGTTTGCATACAATATTGGCAAAGCATTAATCACAAAACAACACTGTAAAAAAAGATTGCTGTGATTATCACAACTTAAAATTCATCATTAAAATAAGGAATAATGCATTGTTTCAATTTAAAGAAGTATGCTTGACTTAAAATTATAAGTTTAGTTAACTTTAGTTTAGATTAATGCAGTTAAAAATTAATCTCAACAAAAAACTGTACATTTTAAGTTGTTTTAAATTTTAAGAACATTTTTACAGTGAAAAAACAATAAAAATAGTATTTAAACAAGGTGCTAAGTAATTTAAAAAAATTATATACACACACACATATGTATAATAGATATTCAGCTATACTTATATTTTTGAAGAAAAAAAAAGTAAAATAAATGAAAAAAATATATATAGTCATACATTATGAAGAAATAAATAAATAAAATAAATAAGGAAATTAATTTATTTATTTTGTTTAAAATTGTATAAATAAAATAAATAGAAATTAGTTTTAAAATTGAGCACTTTATGAAGAAAAAATAAATACAATTAAATAAAAATAAGATTAAAAATGTGTGTGTATAGAATAGTCATTTATCAATACATTATGAAGAAAAATTATAAATAAATAAAATAAAAATAAGATTAAAAATTCAATACATTGTGAATAAAAAATGCTGCAATATATGCACACGGACGGTCTTAAATGTTGATCAAAGCAGTAGTTTCTGAGGGTGTGCAGCTGAAAAATAAATTTTGCTGCAATTGATGAGTAACTGTCTTCTACCAGTAACATCTTTTCTGCAGAACTGTAAAACTGTGGCAGTCTGTCAAATTATTTCTTGCCTTTTTGTCCCTTTTTGAAGTCCGACAGCCATAGTCACCATCCACTTTCATTGTATGGCAAAACAGCAGCATAAATATTCCTTTTCTCTTTTTGTGTTCCATGAAAGTAAGTCAGTCAGTGAGGGTGAGTAAATGATGGCAGCGTTTTCATTTCTGGCTGAACTGTCCCTTTAACAAACGTTGCATGCACAGCACACACACACACACACTCCTCTAATGCACAAAGACTCAATTCAGGTCAACCATTTGCTCTTTTTCTTTCTCTCTTTCACTTTCTTATTAGCGAGCTCCCAAAAGCGTAATGGAGAAATTAATGAACGTGCGTTCTGGGAGAGCTCACATTAACGGTTCAGTTCCCAACAGACTAGACAACCTGCTAAAACATCACAGACAAAATCTGCCCTTTACGCATTAGGAAAAACCGAGATAAGTGTGCCGAATACCACAGGAAATCAAAATTATGTGTGCAATAATGCATTTACAATGGAAGTCCATGGAACAATTGCATAACCAGGAAGGGTCCTACCACTACAAGGAAAATTTACACAACTCAAATAACATATTTTGTAAAAATAATAATAATAATAAATAAATAAATAATTGCTTCAGCATAAATATGAGCTGCACATTTTTGCTTTTAAACCTCCCAGAAAGTCTTGCCCTATTTTAGTATTATTTATATACTTTGATATATATTAATATTTTGAATAAGCTTTTATTTTTATATTTTCATTTGAATTTTTGTTTAATTTGTACACATTTTATGTGCTATTGTCATTTTAATTGGTAATTAAAATAGCTAAATCTATAAAAAAGTTAAAATAGTTAATAATAATAAGAAGAAAAGTAATAATAAATAAATAAATAACAAGCATCAATTCCTGACTTTTTTGCGCATTGCTATTTACGCTTTAATTTTTTTATTATGTTTTAGTTTTAGTAATTTAAGTACGTCAACCTGTTTTATTTCAGTTAGTTGCCAAGCAATTTTTTATATATATTGAATATTTATATTCTGCTTTATTTCAGCTTTATTTTACTTAACAAAAATGATTTTTAATATTTCAGATCTACTTAATTCTATTGACTTCCCATGTAAGAGCATTTCTGTAAACAGCAATTCTCCTTGTTTTTGAAAGTTGAGCTGATTTCCTGTGGTAATCGACAGCATGTCACAGATGCTCCCAACAGAGCTTAACTCGTATTGAACCCAGAGGATTGCTATAATCTTCACCATCATACATAAACAGAAGAACGATTTCAACTTCTAACCTTGTAGTACATTCTCAGGCATAAACACCATTAATCAGATACAGTTGTGCGTGAGATGTGTGAGCGTTTAGATGACTGTATTATTGTATAGAGTTTCTAAGTAATGTCTCGTAATAATGTTTTGTGTGACCACAAACAGACACGTTACACACACGGGACAGACGTGAACTGACAAACACAGGCTATGATTGGAACAGCGTACTACATACTTCTATTACTTTTTAGGCAATATGTATACTATGCCCAATATGCAAATGGCCTTCTACTGTACATTTGCCAAAATGTGCATTATACAACAAAGCACACCATATGGAATATGATGCAATCCGCTAAAATTACATTTCCAGAATATCAGTCGCAATATTACACAGACTGCCAAATGTTGCAACATATTTACACAAAACTGGACTAAAAATGCAAAATAACCATATTTATTTCTGATATTACAACTGGACGCCACTTGCCGAATTAAATATGATGTGATGAGATCATGTGACCACAATGTATGTATTGTAAAGTTTTGCATAAATTAAAATAAATATATTATGTATTTTATTATGTATTTAAGTATTTTCTGCTCACCAAGTCTTCATTTATCTGATCAAAAATACAGTAAAATCAGTAATATTGTGAAAAATTATTACAATTTAAAATAACTGTTTTCTATTTGAATATATTATAAAATGTAATTTATTCCTGTGATCAAAGCTGAATTTTCAGCATCATTACTCCAGTCTTTAGTGTCACATGATTCTTCAGAAATCATTTTAATATGCTGATTTGTTGCTCAAAACATTTCTTATTATTATTAATGTTGAAAACAGTTGTGCTGCTTCAAAAATGTGTAATCTGAATGAATAGAAAGTTCAAAATAACATTCATTGTAAAACATTTGTATTATAAATACCTTTACAGTCACTTAATCAATTTAATGCGTCCTTATTGAATAAAAGAATTAATAAAACAAATCTTACTGACCTGAAACTTTTGAACTATATATACTAGTAAATAATTATAAACAGTATATTCTGTACAGTATGTACAACTAGTTTTCCATTCCGCCCATAGCCACACAGACACACCTTATTAAATATGTATGACAGTGTTAATGCTCACATCCTGGTCCTGCAAGGTTAGGCGGGGTTTGGACTGAGCATGCTCAGTAAGAGCAGAGCCTTTGAGACAAATGTCAAAGGTCACAAGAAGACAGAGGAAGACGAGGAAAAGGAAGAAGAATGTGGTTACCACGGGAACAGCAACGATGAGTGGCTGGAGAAGGTAGTTACTCTCGGTTTGAAAGGACAACACAGGAATAAAGGGTTTAGGGTTACGTTTCTCTGCGATGTCAAAGGTCAAAGGTGAGGCCTCTCGGGCCGGTGCATTAGTATGTTATCAGTGGAGCATCAGGATGAACGTGGAACATTTGTATTTTCGTGCAGGTGAACAAAGGGAAGGGAAAGGAGAACGATGGCGGCAAAAGAATAACAGCATCTACAAGTACTACAATAAAACTACACAAATACAAACAACCTACAAATGAAATTAAACAAGCATAAACTAAAACAAAACTCACAAACGCATGAAACAATCACTCTTATGAGCTTTCAGATCAGTCTGTGCTGTTCATTTTTACTTGAGTTTTGGTTTTGGGTCAAATCGAAGTAACTGCGAGTGAATGTGATGCCAGTGTGTGTTACCTTGTTTTTCTTAATGAAAGGCCAGAGAGTTTTGCTCTTGCCCTTGCTGGAACGGTCCGCTTTGTTGTCCGAGCGTGAGTTAGTCAGACTGGTCTCAGACACCGTCCTCTTCATCGCCTGACCGTAGTCTTCAAACTCCACATCGCCAGGAGGCTCGAACCCAGACTTATACGACTCTATGACCTGAGAGGAGTCCTGCAGGGGAAGACAGTCTTACTGTGTGAGTTTAGTATTACATACTATTATAGCTTTTATTCATATGTTGAATTAGATTGGATTTTTTATATTTTTTGTAATCACTTTAATTTTAGTTAAAGTTTTAGCAATTGTATTGTGTGTTTTTGTTATCTTGACAACTAGTTAATATATATACACTTATATATATATATATATATATATATATATATATATATATATTTCATTGTTATTTCAAGTAAAAAAAAAGGTTTTAGATTAAAATAAAATAAGCTCATTAGTATTGCTACGAAACAATCCCTTCCCAAAAATATGTCTTTAAAAAATATTGTATTTTTGAGGATGCCTCTAAAACAGTGGTCACCAACCTTTTTAGGCCCAAGATCCTGACCTTGGCCTTTATGAAAGACAAGATCTACCTATTGAAGAATTGATAGAAAAAGACATCCCAGATTGT